CCCCAAAACCCCAAAACCCCAAAACCCCAAAACCCCATTTTACAAATTTTAGTGGAATGATTATGTTTGTTTTTCTAACATTTTACTGCTTGAATTTAGTGGAGGCAGAACTTTTACCATCTATAGTCCCCATTGATTGAGCATTGTAGTTACTAGAAGTTGGTGTTGACTGATATCCAGGAGTACGCATTGGAGTTGCAGAGCCTGAAGCAGAACTTGCAGAAGGAGCTCTAGAGTACATATGCATGCTCTTTCCTTTTTGAGGAGTTGCAAACATCATATTTTGAGGGACATGCGGAGAACCATCTTGTTTCCCAGGATAATGTTGGAAATGATTCTGCATCATATGGGATTGTGGTAGATCTGGAGGAGGCATAGCATATTGACCCATCATCTGAAAATAGCTATTCATATCCATACCATTGGGCAGATGATGAAAAGAGGGATGATTCATCTCTCCGGCCGCATTCATTTGAGGAATCATCATTGATGCTTTATGATGATTCATTTGTTGAAACTGATGATTTGGATAATACTCGCTCATTGTATGATATTCTGTAGTCTGATCCATACCAGAACTTGTATGGGTAGATGGCTGTTGATAAGAATAATTTGGAGGAGTCTTTGCACTGTCTTTCTCGTCACTTTCTCTTTTCTTCTTCTCCAAATATTCTTTTCTTCTCTGTGCAGATATATCTATCAATGTCATTTTTCTGCGTGCAAAATTAGCTGATACTGCTGGTTGGTCCCTTCTAGTCATCCGTCTACCTTCGATATTTTTATATTCCTCTCCTAAATAACCCTCATTTGAGAATTCAGAAGGAAAAGGATTGACAGATTTCTTTGAGTAAGATCCAGCTTTATCGATCTGATCAATGTCACATATACGCGGTTCTGGCGTGCGAGCTTGGAAACCTTCTGAGGGAATTTTTGGGTCATCAAGTTTTCTTTGCCACTGGTCAGGAGTAGTGCTCATATGAACATCCTTGTCCTGATCTTCATTAGGCTCTGTCGTTTGGTACTCACTTTGCTTGGTAAGAGATGGTGACTCGGTTGGTGTCTGTGCTCCTAGTAAATTTTCAGGAAGCATCTCAGGAGTAACTTCATAAGGATTCTCATGCAAATTATTACCAGGAACATATTGTTCGGCAATCATATGAGCTGGGAGAGCAGGGTTAGAAGACTGAGTAGCAACAGGAGTGTTCAATATAGTCTCCTGTGAAGGAATTAAATCCCAATTTTGTATTTGCACATTGTCTCCTTGAAAATTCAATAGATTCTGTTGGTTCCACAATTGATGTGGGCTCATCATTTGCTGATTCTGATCTATCATTTGTTTCTGTTGTTCTAGCATATGTTGTGTTTGACCCATTGCCAGTTGTTGATTCATCATTGGATGATGACTCATCATTGACTGGTGGTCCATAGTTGACTGTTTGTCAATCGTTGTTTGATGGTCTATCATTGGCTGGCGAATCATCATCTGTTGTTGGTTCATCATCTGTTGTTGATTAGGTGATTGATTGGATTGTAGAAAAATTGCATCTTCTTTAACTTCTTGATTCTCAAGTTTCCCTAAATCATCCAGATTCATCTCCGCTGGCAGACTTTCACCCTCTCCTCCCTTGTATTCAGGGAAGCCTGGGCCAGCAAAGCCCAGAGTCTTCTTTAAAATACTGTTGACTTTAAGAGATTTTTCATTAGCGCTTTTCTCAACATCCAAAATATACTGATATCTCATATTTCCTACCCGATCAAACTTCTTTAATCCTTTTTCCTCTTTGAACTCTTTCATGAACTCAAAACAGCTTCTTGGATCACTTATTAATTGATTGATTTGATTTAGCTCCGCACTAATCTCATTTTTCTCTTTCTCCAGAGCTTCTATGCGCAAAATAATCATTTTCTGAATCTTTGTCATTTGGTGGCAAATCATATTATCTTCTGCTTCATAATTATGTAAATCAAGGATCCTTAATATTTCTTTTATAGTGGGTAGTTTGACCTTTTCATCCAGAGCGGAAGGCCCCTTGGATTCTCAATTGGCGTTTTCCTTCTGTGACAAGTCTTCAACGGGGATTGATTTCTCACTCATTTCTGCTAAAAGTGTTTACAATTTGGGTTCTAGATATTGGGGTTTTGGGGTTTTGGGGTTTTGGGG